GCACCATTTTGGCTGCTTCCAAGCACAGTAAAAGTTACATTTCTTTCATAAATATTGGAAAAATCTTCAGTTATACCAGAGTAAATATAATTTTAAAGCGCTCTTTAAGGACTTAAGCTTAAGGACCTAAGCTTATCCCAGTGTTTCTTTTTCTGTTTAGCCCTACTGCCATTGGCATATTTCTCCTTTGATTTAAAAAAAATAAATAATATATATATATATATGTATATATATATATATATATATATATATATATATATATATGACTATGCTCTAAACAGGCTAGAATTGCTGTGGTAATATAGACATTGCTAATGTAGGTCAACAGATTCACCCGTTCCATTTACCATCTGCAGCTAAAGACAAGTGGTGTGGAAGAGAAGATAGTTATACGCAGCGACTGGTTGTAGAAGTGGAGAGAGAAGAAATGATCTGTCCAGTCTGAAGTGGTGGCCTGATCAATGTTTTATAAGTATGGCCACTCTTCTTTGTAGGTTAGACTTATCTTTCCTCCCCCACGTGTGTGCCAGTGGTGAAGCTGTGAGTCATAGCGGGCTGTGTTTTTGAGATAATGGCCCACATTGTGTGTGTGTCTGTGTGTGTTTTATGTTTTTTCCAGTACAATTGACAAGCAACACAATTAACTAACATTAGTTTTAATTTAGAGACCATGAAACCATTTAATTTATAACATTTGAGGCTGAAAAGCAACACTGACAGATTAGTTTATGTTGCTATAGTAGCAGATCTGCTGTGATGTAGAGCAGACACAAATGTTTTCATGCATGGCTTCCTCCACATTTTTAATGTTTCAACATAAGGCTGCAAAGACCGGAGCTTTTATGTATTTTTTGTGTGTGTGTGTCAAATGGCCTGCATCTCATGTACGCTACAAACCAATCAGCTAGAGGTTGTACGTGGATGTGGAGGCCATGGACATTGCAGACTTCTTCTGTCAGCTGCTCCCTTTAGAGGTCGCCACAGCGAATCATCTTCCGCCATCTCACACCGTCTCTTGCATCCTTTTCTGTCACACCAACCCTCTGCATGTCGTCCATCACTACATCCATGGGCCTTATCTTTGGTCTTCCGCTTTTCCTCCTGCTTGGCAGCTTCATCTTCAATGTCCAATATGAGTTATATTTGCTATCCTTGCTCTTCACATGTTCAAGTGTTACAAGATGGTAGTGAGATCTGCTTTGATGTATGGTTTGTAGATAGTAGCGCTGACAAAAAGACAGGAGGTGGAGGTGACAAATTTGAAGACGGTAGTGACTAGAATGGACAGGATTAGATATTTTTCCTTAGCACTGTTGGCTGACATGAGGGACTGCTGTGCTCTCAGAGTCATGTTTTGCTGCTCATCAACAATGGATATAATAATGGATACTTTATTGATCCCCATGGGGAAATTACTTGTTTTTCTCTGCATTTGACCCATTCACTCAGTGAAGCAGTGGGCAGCCCACTAAGCAGGCGCCCGGGGAGCAGTGTGTAGGGACGGTACCTTGCTCAGGGGTACCTCAGGGTAGCCGTTAAGTGGATTCGAACCGCCGACCTTCCGATCATGGGGTGACCACTTTACCTACTGAGCTATCCCTGCCCCCATATAATCTGCACAATATGCACAAACGTAACAGGCTGCCTATGTGCGACCCCTGCAGGTGCTGCTCAGCCATGGAAACCCATGCCAAGAAGCTCCCGGTGCACAGTTTCTGTGCTGATGTTCATGCCACAGGCCTCTTTTGGTGCTGCACTCCATATTAGTCCCAGTTTCTCATGTGGGAAAATTCATTGCCTGCAACTGCTTTGGTGGTCTGTCAGTTTATTCTGCTACAATATTCTCTGAGCCCAAAAGTGATATTTGGGAAAGCTTGGCCAGGTATCGATGAGGACAGTTGACATTGCCGTGATAACTTTATCCATCTCCTCCTGTAATGATCAATAATTCTTTGTCTGAAGTCTAAATGCATTTTTTGACATGATGCTTTCTAAAGTGACAGCTCAAACCCTGACGTTTTTACAGTGTTTTTAAAATGGAAAATAGCCTCAGATTTAACACTTAAATCCCCACGGACTGCCATTTGGCTTTTGCGATCTGTCTGTCTAGTGGATTGAGGAATTTTCCTGCGAATCTTGTTGACTGTGCCGAGGATGGTGGTTTTCAGTCTAAGAAGTTTTTGCGCAAGTGAAAGCGATGTGAAAAAATTGTCCGTGGTAACATTTCTGCCCTTGTCTAGGAATGGTTCCATCAGCATCATTACTACATTTTCAGAAAGTCTCTCCCCAGTGGGACGATTGGGGTCCTTGCCAAGATATGGGAAGACATTGCAAATGTACTTGGATTTTAGGTCGCAAGCCACCCAAAACTTGATCCCAAACTTGTCAGGTTTACTTGCAATATTCTTCAGGAAACAGCACCGAGTCTTTGATGGGAAAAGCTGTTCATCAACGGTGATATGTAGACCAGGGTTGTAGCACGTGATGCAGTTGGTGACAAATGATCCCCACACACTGGAAATTGCAGCGAACTTATCAGTCTTTGCTCGATTTGCTCCATTGTGGCATCAATCAGACCACTGGTATAATGTTGAAAATGTTGAAATGTACTCACTCACTTTTTATTATTATTTGTAAATATGTGTACAAATGGTTGATTTTTTGTACTGTTTTTATCAATAAGATAAGATAAGATAACCTTTATTAGTCCCACACGTGGGAAATTTGTTTTGTCACAGCAGGAAGTGGACAGTGCAAAAGTTATGAGGCAAAAATTAGAATACAATAAGAATAAATACAGTACACAACTGTACAGAATAGAATAAAATAAAATACTATATACAGTAGAATAAAATAAAATAAATATACAATAAGATAAAAATAGAATACAAATCCAAATACTATATACAACTGAGTAAAAATACAACGATGACAGAAAGGATTATTGCACTTAATATTATTGCATATGTATGGATGTGTGTGCTTGATCAGTTAAAGTCTTTATTATGGAGTCTGACAGCAGTGGGGAGGAAAGACCTGCGAAATCTCTCCGTCCCACACCGTGGGTGCCGCAGTCTCCCACTGAAGGAGCTGCTCAGTGCTGTCACAGTCTGCTGCATGGGGTGGGAGATGTTGTCCATCAGGGATGACAGCTTAGCCGCCGTTCTCCTGTCACTCACCACCTCCACTGGGTCCAGAGGGCATCCTAGAACAGAGCTCAGCAACAAAGGACATACACCCATGTGTGTTGATTTCTCCCTAAGATGGCAAACTGAAACACTCCAAGTTGGTGACTTTTGGAGATTTATTTCCCTGGATGATTGAGAATGCATCAGCAGCTCCCCCACCCCCTCAATCACACACCCCCCACTCCCCTCCCTCCAGAATTCCCAGGTAACAACCTAATTTACATATGAATGACTAGCCAATTTAGCTTCCACTTGGCTGAAGCTAAAGCTTAGCTAAAAGCCTACCAGCCATTTGGCTGCTCTCGGGTTTTATAGGTAGAAAGGTAGAAGCCTGGGGATGTTAAAGACTAGAAATGAAAACATGTGAGTCCTGTCTTTAAATAAAAATATATAATTCCCTATATTCCTATCTATTCTTGACATTGAAGCTTTACTCTTCTTGATATTGTGACAAAATACTCTTGGGTTAACCACGAGCTTTCTAAAAACTTGCATATAACAATTGTGCACCACTCATTCCTCATCTTTGCTGCCCATCATTACAGCTTTGCTAAAGATGGGCAGCAGGTTAGTGTCATGATGTCACCTCAGACATAGTTAAAAGCCCTGTTAACGTAGCTGCTTCTCGCCGGGTGCGGTGGCGCGTGCCTGTAATCCAAGCTACCGGGAGGCTGAGGTTGGAGGATCGTTTGAGCTCACGAGCTCTGAGCTGCAGCAGGCTATGTCGATTAACACAAAATAATTATCCTCATTCAAAAGTCATGTAAGAACCTCATTGGCTTACGGAATGTTGATGTTATTTAAAAAATTCATACAAAAACATGACCTCATTCTAGAATGTCATGTGACAACCTCATTGGCTTATGGTATTGTGATGTCACAGGCTTCTGAATCCATAAATAGGGGTGAGGAGGTACAACTTTCAGTCCGTTATTTGCAGCACTTATGTTAGCAGCATTCAGACGTTCACCAGTAAAGCATTTTCAAACATTTGGACCCTTTTCGTACTCACGGTATACAGACTCCAACATGTCTCAGAAAGAGCAAGAAAGACAAGAAGCTGACCCCAGCTCTATTCCATGGTATGAGTCCCTAGACCCTTACATCAGCTCTCTTCCTTGGGATGAACAGGTGGAATTAGAGGAAAAGCGATTGGAAGAAATGGAGAAGGAAAATCTCATGAACAGAGAAAAGATTAAGATCCTGACAGAAGAAAATGAGAGAAAGAGCGCTGAATTAGAAAAATTATCCTACCAGCTTCAGGAAAGGGAAGGTATTATTGAGGAGAAACAATGGGCTCTCCAAGATAAGAAGAATCACGAGCTCCAAGAAAAGCTTGATGAAGCTCTAGAAAAAATTAAAGATCTGCTCCAAAATGAGAAAAAAGAGAGCATTAAAGGGGATAAAATGCTCAAGAAGAATGAGGAGCTCCAAGAAAAGCTTGATGGAGCTCTGGAAAAAAATAAAGATCTGCTCCAAAGGGAGAAAAAAGAGAGCATAAAACAGGAAAAAATGCTCAAGAAGAATGAGGAGCTCCAAGAAAAGCTTGATGGAGCTCTGGAAAAACTGAAGGAACTCCACCAAGAAGAGAAGCAACAGTCCACACAGCAGAGAGACATGCAGAGCAAACTCCAAGCCATGGAGGAAAAATACAAAGCGCTGCAGGTGAAACATGACAAAACTCTGGAAGAAATGGATTGCAAGCTGAGGAACATCGAGAAACAAAATGAAGGCTTGCAAGTGATGCTTGATGAAGCTCTGGAGAGAAATAAAGAGTTTCTGCACAAGATAGACCAACAGAAAATAAAAAAGGAAGAAATGGATTGCAAGCTGAGGCACATCAAGAAACAGAATGAAGGCTTGCAAGTGATGCTTGATGAAGCTCTGGAGAGAAATAAAGAGTTTCTGCACAAGATAGACCAACAGAAAATAAAAAAGGAAGAAATGGATTGCAAGCTGAGGAACATTGAGAAACAGAATGAAGGCTTGCAAGTAATGCTTGATGAAGCTCTGGAGAGAAATAAGGAGATCCTCCAAGAAAAGAAACAAGAGCCCATAGAGCAGAGACACCTGCAGAGCAAACTCCAAGCCATGGAGGAAAAATACAAAGCGCTGCAGGTGAAACATGACAAAACTCTGCACAAAAGTCAACAGTTGCTTCAAGACAAGAAGAAACTGGAAATGAAACAGAAAGAAATGGACTCCAAGCTTGACGAGATGGAGGAAAAACACAGATTGCTTCAAGTCAGGCTTGAGAAAAAAGCGCACAGAAATAAAGAGTTCATTCAAGAGAGAGAGCAACAAGGAATGCTCGAGAAAGAAACGGACCACAAGCTTGAAGTCTTGGAGGAAAAATGCAAAATGCTCCAAAAAACTCTCGAGGAAACACTGCTCAAAAATAAAGAGTTGCTTCACGAGAAAGACCAACAGAAAATACAACAGGAAGAAATGGCTTGCAAGCTGAGGAACATCGAGAAACAAAATGAAGGCTTGCAAGTAATACTCGATGAAGCTCTGGAGAGAAATAAGGAGATCCACCAAGGCAAGAAACAAGAGCCCGTAGAGCAGAGAGACCTGCAGAGCAAACTCCAAGCCATGGAGGAAAAATACAAAGCGCTGCAGGTGAAACATGATAAAACTCTGCACAAAAGTCAACAGTTGCTTCAAGACAAGAAGCAAATGGAAATGAAACAGAAGGAAATGGACTCCAAGCTTGACGAGATGGAGGAAAAACACAGATCGCTCCAAATCAGGCTTGATAAAAAAGCGCACGGAAATAAAGAGCTTCTTCAAGAAAAAGACCAACAGAAAATACAACAGGAAGAAGAAAAACTTAATCTCCAGAGGAATAATCAAGCACTCCAAGAATTGTATAACGAAACAAAGTACAAATCAACTGTACTGGAAGAAGAAAAGAAAAACCTGGAAAAACAATGCTCAGCGATGCAGAGTAGCATCAATGAGATGCTGAGAAAAAATACCGAACTTGAGGAACTTTCTAAGACCTTGAAGTACAAAAACACTGAAATCCAGGCGCAAAAGCAAGAACAACAGAAAACACATAAAGACCTGCAGTGTAGACTTCAAGAAATCCAGAAGAGAAACCAGCAGCTGGAAGACATGCACACAGATGTGCACAAGGCAAAGCGAATAGAGGAGGCAACAGTTAAAGAACTGAAAGACAAGCTTAAAGAAAAACAAGAACAATTAGAAGACATGGTGAAAAGATGCAACAAACTTGAGAAAGAAAACGCAGAAACAATCGATGAGCTGAAAACCCTCATCATTGAGAAAAAAGTGCTGGTGGAAGAGTATCTGAAAAAGAAGAAAAAACGCTTCCACTGGTTCTGGAGGAGGGGCACTGCTGCTTCTCACCTGATGTAACCTCGTCTTCCTCCACCTCTATTCCATCTTCATTTCCCCCCTTCCCCTCCCTCCTTTTTCTTTTTTCACCCTCACCCCCCGACCAGTCCCGGCAGTTGACTGCCCCCTCCTGAGCCTGGTTCTGCCATAGGTTTCTCCTTTAGGTTTCTTTCACTTTAAAAGGAGTTTTTCCTATCCACTGTCGCCTGGTGCTTGCTCAGAGGGGATTGTTGGGGTTTTCTCTCATCTCTCTCTTTCATTCTTTCTATCCTTTCCCCCCCCTTCTGCCTTTTCCTTTACCCAATAAACACAATTGCCCACATTTTACATTTGTTTGAAAAATGTCTTCATTCAACAATAATTCATCTTAGGTATAAAAACAAGAAATAGGTAATAGCTGCATGTGTGTTTGTGTGTGTGCATAATATACATACTTGTTTCCCAGAAAGATTTAATACTAGATGGATAGAGACAGGTTTTTAACTTGAATTGTGAGCTTTGAGCATCACATAGTTAAAGCACATGATTGCACAGCAGCGGTTTGTGTTGTGGCTCAAGAAAAAAATTGAGTGTTTTGCTGGGGTAATAATATTGACCCTGGTAATTTGGTAATAGAAATAATTTTTACTCTCTAAAGAAAACTAGTATGTTTGTAAATGCTATTTTTTAAAAGCTGCTTTTCTTGTCTAAGGTGAAAACAGTGCTTAACCTCTGATTTGCTTGTCCCAGCAGGCTATATCCAAGCACTCTAAACCAGACCTTCCCAAAGTGTGGGGCCCGCCCCCTGGGGGGGGGGGTATGAAAAGGGAAAAAAAACAAAAACAATGCTTGGACACTGCTAGCACGGGGCGCCTACACAAACGTAAAGCAGGGGATGAAGCATCGCTGAATATATTTCCAAACCAACTTCATTCTAAGCCAAAGACTAGAAAATATGGTGAAGCATATCTGCCCTTTGGTTTAACCTGCACAGGTGCCGAGGTAGGTCTCCCTGCAGAATTGGTTTTCCCTTCGTCGGGAGCAGCGCTGGGCTCTCCAAATCACGGACAAACAGTATCCCACATTCTTGATTTTTAGTTGATGTTACGCCCCACTTAAAAACGAAGTGTTGACTGGAGTGAGGGGTAACACAAAGTGAAAGAGAACACATGAGCTACTGGAGAATAGATGTCATTAAACGTGATTTATTGCCCAAAACTACTTTACTTCAGGGTCTCCAAGGCCAAAACAGCAAACAAAACACCCCCTTTAGCTAAAAATCAAACCAAGTACTCACTAACCAAAACAAAATACAATGGCTGAGCTCCCTGTCTAACCAAAAAAAGGAGAAAACAGTTGAAACAAAAATGGCAGAGAACCCCTACCTGCTTCCACAATGATGAACTAATTAACACAATAAGGGCACACCTTTGCTTACAATAAAAGAAAGAAAACCAAAGTTCCACAGAGTTTAAGTTCTCACACACATACACACTAAGGCCCGCTGCCCAAAACACTACAGCTCACAGCTCCGGCAAAAATGGGGGAAGTGGCAGGGGTGTGGCAGTTTAGGATGGCAGACTATATGCCGTGGCTGACGAGCTGGAACACACCTCAGCTGTGGCTCATGAGGCAGACCTGCAACACAAGAAAAGGAGAAAAAAAACCTCTTCTACAAAGGGAGAGCCACTAGAGGTCAGCGACCGTAACAGTTGACAAACACTTGTTGTAATGACTAACTGCTCCTGACATTTTGGAGATGTTAGCTCTTTATACAGTAAAGTTACAGCGGGATACAAATAACATCAGGCTGATCCTGCCACGATTTGTTCCCCCTGTCTAAATCATGGACAAACAGGATCCCACAGCTGTTTATGTTTTTAGACCCATTTTGCACAGAGAGGCATTTTTTGAAAAATGTATTGATAGCAATGTTGAATATTATTACACAGGAAAGAAACAACTACATGTAAAATAATTACACAGTGACGCCTCTGACTTTGTAAATAGAGGGACAGCGTGTGTATATGTAAGCGTGTAAAACCTGAAGATAGAGACAAAATACTGTTAATCTGACTACCTGCCATTCTGCAATTCATCTCATGTAAACAATAACGTGGCGCACAGCGTGACGTGAAAAAAGGCACATACCTTTGACGTTGCGTGACGAACTCTGTATTCCTCGTCCACACATGAACGCGAAAAAAGGAGTTTTAAAAAATCGCAGTTTTCGGTGATTCGAAACGCCGTTTACGTGTGGATGAAACAGCTGCGTTTTCAAAAATCCCCGTGTAGGTGTGGACATAGCGTAAAAGAGTTAGTAGTTTATTTTATTACTACCTGTAATTTATTGCAGATTACTTGTATTTGCTTAATTGTTCACTAAATGTTTGAGGTGTGAAAGAAACCGCAATGGAGCAAAATATGGGTGTGTGTGGTTGGAGGATGTGTTTGTGCATGCGTGCACGCGGAGGGGATGGGGGCGAACATTTTTCTTGTAAAACAAAGGGGAGCCTAGCAAAAAAAGTTTGGGAACCACTGCTGTAAACACTCCTCTTTGCACTTAAACTACAAAGACTAATAGCTCAACAGTGCGATGTCTGTATGTGGCCATTGCATGCATACTTAAGAACTTGTTACACTGTTCCCCTTTTAAGTCAAACGAGCTTGAAATATTAAAAAGTTGGCAGGAAAAAGCTTTTTTGAGCAATTTTGCAAGATCGTGTTAGCTTAATTTGCTACAGTTGATGGATTTTGCTAACGACATTTGTCAGAATCAACAGCAGCCGGATAGAAATGAGAAGCCTTTTATCTACTAAAATCAATTATTCTTAAAAAATTCATGCCCACTGTGTCAAAAACAAAAAAGTCTGAATGGTTGCTGTCACCGTGCATGTGCCGTATACGTGACAGACATAGCAGCACAACGTTGATGTTGTATGTATGATGTACCCTGAATGTGAACAATGCTTCTAATAATATCACAATCTTTTGTTTTTTTCCAGTTCATTTGTTGCCTGCTTTTTAAGCACCATGACAACCGTTACACACACAAATATGCCTATTTTCATATCCTCAGACTCACATATATAGACGATGGGTCGCCCATTTTAAAGCACAGCCCATGAAGTGTAGCTTCCATGCAGTTCGGTAGCTGGCTAAATGCGTAACCCTACGTCTTTTACATCTCAGCCTTAACCATTTTCCCATAACACCAGGAGGGAAGGCTTCTTGCCGAGCTTTCAATAATAAACGATTAAGTTGGGGGTTTAACGTGCTTCAGCAGATAATGGGGTGGAAAGAAGGAGGCTATCAAAGAACAAAGTGCTTTTAACACAGAAAACCACCAACAGGAAGTACACAGGTTTTAATGGTGGGGAGCTCTGGGTTCCAAGTGACATCAATCATAGATGACTATGGACTTATTTCACAATAATCTAGAGAGTTATTTTTATAGTAACCATTATTTCTGATTCAAGTCATGTCTTAAGATTACATAAATGTAATATTAGTGAAAATTAATGATCCTTTTGTGTTCTAAATAATCTTTATAAAAGAGGAGCCTCAAAGCCCTTCCTTTAGGAAAAAAGTAGGTTAAACCGGCTTTTTTTCTGCATATAGGACAAAATCAGAAAATCATCCTTTTTCCATTTCAGCAACAACACAACACATAACTATTATTTAACCATTATATTCACTATGTGTTCACTTGAAAAGTTAAATCCTAGTTATGTTAGGTCACGCCTGGAGGCTTCTGGTTAGGTTGTGCACTCTTAGCTAAGCAAAGTGTTTCGTCTCCACCAGTGTTGGGACTAACGCGTTATTAAGTAACGCGTTACAGTAACTACGTTATTATTGTGGTAACGAGCACGGTAACTAGTTATTATGCCAAAATCAGGAACGCGTTACTCGTTACTGGGATTTAGATAGGGTCGTTACTCGTTACTTCGTGTGGTGGCATCGCGGAGCTTCCACTGATTCAGTAACATTAGCAAGTGGTGGAGGCAGCAGGTGGATGAAGGAAAAGGGACGCAGAAGGAAAAGAGACCCCAGGCGGCCGCCGGTCCAAGTGTGAACTGAACTTCAGGTAAGAAGTTATGACCTGCAGTCTCTCTGGGTCAGATATGAACCAAGTTTAGGTGGAGTTTATTTTCGTTATTCTGACTTTTTCCGTACTGCGTGCTAGCTAGCATGACGGAGTTTCTATACAGCTGGGTGGGTGCTATGAAGTTAATGATGTTTAACTTTATTTTGTTCATAAGTTATTAGAGTTGCCAACCGTCCCGTCTGGTATTCAGAGAAAATATTACGCGTTTCTTATTGAGGTGAAAAGGAACAGTTTGTCCCGGACTTCAGCTACAATGAAAAAGGCACAAAGCTGGAGTTACTCTGTGTCTTTACGCTGCACAGCTGCCTCTTCTTCTCTCATTCTCCCCCCTCCCTCTCCCGTTTCTACTTCAATCATGAAACTGATCAATGATCAGCTGATCGGCTCTCTTGTTTGTTTATCGCCCACTTTGCGCAGAAAGAGGAAACCAGCGGATGTCGCGCTAAACAACAGCAGCACGTTTAAGCTTGATCAGCTGTTGTTAGAATTTATTTAATATTAATTTCTAGTATCAGCTGATGTTTGCTGGAGCCACAGCTGCAAAAAAGCTGCTGGTCATGATATGGTTTGGTTATGTGGTGAGAGGGAAACATGAAGATGAAACCAGGAGATGTCCTTACTGGATCATCAGAGCTGAACAGGTGATGGAGAAACAGGTTTACCTTTTAGGTGACATGAATGAGTTGAAGGGAAGTTATGAACTGTTTCTGAGAGACAAATAACACCAGGATCCTTTTCTAAGTAGCTGACAGCTGGTAACTGTGCAGGGGCGGGTCTAGCAAAGTGTTGCCAGGGGGGCAGGTAGGGCATTAACAGGGAAAGGGGGGCACAAAGAAATACTTTTCTTTCTTATTCTCATTTAAAATGTCTAGCTTTTAAAAAATAATTATCTGAATCTTACAACAAACGATTGATAGATTGATGCATATATACCATCAAAACAGTGTACATCACTGTCACAACAGTGTTTGTTTTCATTCAAAGGCTTTATGATTTTCCCTATAATGGTGGGCCAGTCTCTAGTCAAAATGCCCGGGATGATTTTTTTTGTCCCAGTCCAGCTCTGTATGCAGCTCATCTGCAGTCTGGTGTTGCCTACATCTTCCTATTCGGAAGGCAGAATTTCCGAGTTCTGAGTACAATCGAAAGCACCACGACTGCAGTTTTTGTGTTGGATGTAAAAGGCGCAGATGACACTGTGACGTAGGCTAGAGTCATGGCAGCAG